TCCGCTTATCTTGTGGCTCTCATGGAGCAACTCCTGCAACTCCTGCCGGGGCCACTTCGTCCCCAGCAGGAGCAGCAGCAGCTGTTCCTAGAGGGTGACAGGGCAGCAAGTGGGGCCGTTCTCCTGGCCCATGCTGTATCCGACCCTGCAGCTCCCGGGGACAAAGTCCCCGGGAGCTGCAGGGTCGGATAAAGTGGAGTGTCAGATTACCGGGTGTCAGTTAATCCAGACTCCACTGTAAACCCAATGCACTCACTCCTGCTCCAGAGCCAGGCACCCTCCATTCCAATGCAACTGTAGGTAAATCTCATTAATCTCTGTATTAATCATTTTCTCACTGAATTTTTTTTATTTTAACTTTGTATCAAGTCCTTTTAGTTTTGTATTTAGTTTGTTGTATTAAGTCCTTTTATAGAAACTTTGTACACTTTTACAGAACATAGAAACTTTGTATTAAGCCTTTTTACATAGAAACCTTGTGTCTTGTAGACTTTGTACTCCACCTTTGCTATGGGACCTGTGAACAATGGGACCTGTGAAGCGGGCTCATTGAAGAAGACTGGACCTATGGATTCCTTGGGAGTAAGCAGCAAGCACCTGCTTTTGGAAGCTTCCTCTTTGAAGGTGAATGGGGAAGCATTAAAAAAAAAAGCCACCCAGAAGAAGGTGCTATAGACGAATAACTACATATGCATATGATGACTCTGCATGAGAGGGAACACACTATACAACTCTAAGGCATTTTGCAGTCAACATGGGAGTATTGATACGGCTTCAACCCTCCCCCACCTAACTAATCTGGCCAGCAGTTAAGTGGAACAACTACTGGTAAAAACAAGACATGGTGGGTGTGTGCATGGGTGTGCTTTATTATATGCATGTAAATGTTGACTCCTATATGATGTGTGTATTACCAATAAATGTGGCATTTTGCCTTTTCCCCAAAAAAAGATCCCATGCAGTACTTTTAAGTATAACACAATCATCCCTGCCCCAAAGCCAGCCCCCCCGTGCACTCATCCTTCCCCTCCCCCCAGAGCCAGGCACCAGAGGAAGGTACCTCTAAAACCACTGCTCCTCCCACCCAGCTGGCTGCTTCAGCTTACAGTTTGGAGAGAGCTGGGAGCAACACTTAGCCTGCAGCTCCTGGGTCTCGGTTCAAAGAATCAGGTGGGCAAGAGTAGCATGTGCTCCAGTCCCACCCCAGCCTGGTGCCCCCCCAGTGTGGCGCCTGGGGGCAACTGTCCCTCTGCCCCCCTTCGCTATGCCTCTGTCTGCCCTGCTAGGAACACAGCAGCACACAGGCTGCTGCTGCAAAGGGAGAGCTGGAGAGACTGCTGTGGTGCTTTTACATTGAGCTCTCCACGCTAAGCAGAGAGCTAGGAAGGAATCCTAAGAAGCACAGTGATCAGCTCTGCCTTTCCACAACACTGCACTGTGTGATGCTTACACTATCTGTCAACAGGATGCTAGCAACATGGCCATGAAATGTCAACAATAGGAGCCAGAAAAATCTGTTTGACCATTTTGCACTTTTGGCAACTTTTGCATGTTGACAGCACTTTCGTCAACGTAGACATAGCCTCAGACTAGCGATGTAAGTGACTAGTCAATTACCTGATAAGCAAATGATCAAATTATCAGGTGATCAAATAGGAACTCGATTAGTCGCTTACCCCCCTGGGAGCAGCAAGGGGTGGGAACACGAACATGTGCTACAGGGAGCTGGCTTAAAAGCAGATTCACCCCCAGCAGGAGAGGCAGAGAGCGGCAGGAAAACGGTGCGAGCAGGGACTGAAACAGTCCCTCTCGCATTGGCTGGACTTCTGCTTCTCTCCCTTTGAATGTACAAGAGTCGCCTGCAGCTCTTGTGCATTTCAAAGGGAGAGAGGCAGCGGAATAGCGAGCGCCCTCCCCCACATCGACAAATCGAGTAGTTGATGGAAATTCCATCTACTACTCAATTAGCTGATTAATTGAAATTTAACAACCCTACCTCAGACTCTCTCAGCAGAGCAACCCCAGCTGGGTCACCACTGCCAAAGAGATACAGGACACTCTCCCAGCCTCAGGTTGGGCTGGGGTAAGCTTCATGGAGGTAAATGAAGGGGGGTGGGGGATGAGGTGAGGGTGGGGAGATTGTTTGAGACCTCCCAACTCCCAGCTGGACTGCAGTGAGCGTAAGGCTCTCTTGCAGCAGCCCCAGCTGGGCTGCTACTGGTGGTGCCTGCAAGAAATACAGGGACTCCTCCCTAACCCCAGCCTGTGCTTGGAGGAGTGGGCTGCACAGGGTAGATGGGGGAGTTGGTGGGGAGGGGGGTGCTGGCAGAGGTGGAGAGTTTGTTTGGGGAATCTTGATTCTCAGTTAGGGTGCAGCAAGAGTCAGACTCTCTCAGCATACCAACCCCAGCTGGGCAACATCTGTTGGGGAGAGACACAGGACTTTCTGGGAGCAGGCTTCCTGGGAAGGCTTGAGAGGTGGGAAGATTTTCGGGCAGGTTTGGGCCTGGGTGGAATGTGGCTACATAGTAGATGTGGTGCTAGGGAAACTCTATTTGATTAATGCATCAGTGAGCTTAGTCCAACATATCTTCCCTTTTCTTGTTGTCTTAACTATGACTGGTGATATAATTACAAGACCTGAAATATGCCAGGAAAAAGACAATGGGAGAAGGAATAGAGCAGCACTGCTATTTTTCATTGATAGAATTATAGAACAGACACAAAACAGTGAATCGTCTGTAGCTCTACAGCAAAATATTTTTCACCCAGTATCAGCAGGATAGTGATAGAAATGTAGCCGTGTTAGTCTGGGGTAGTTGAAGCAAAATGCAGGACAATGTAGCACTTTGAAGACTAACAAGATGGTTTATTAGATGATGAGCTTTCGTGGGCCAGACCCACTTCGTCAGATAAAAAACCCCAGCAGGGAAGGAGGAAGCACTTGCTTGCTTTGGCCCATGATGCGTTTCAGTTGACAGGTGGCCACCTGCCAGATGTTAGAATGATTAGGCTGAAATTTACGCTTCATCTACACTTTAAAGTGAAAGTATGGCCATGGCACCAGTCTTGTAAATCACCTAAACAAGGAGCTGTGAAGTTGAAGTTGTTTGACTATACAGTATCATCTATGTGTTCAAGTTTGGATGGAACTCTACTGCTTTGATGTTAAATTTATTTGTTGACAAACAGTAGGCAATTGTATGCTTCTTTTGGACAATGGGTTTTTTTCTGTTGTGAAACCACTACACACACATACCCTCTGGCCTTCGTATTCACAGATTTTAGTATTCACAGCTATCTCCAGAATGTATCCCACATGAATGGGGAGGGATTCCTGTATTCTAATATCTTTGCAGACATCTATTCAACTATGTTATAATAATACAACCTACATGGTTCTAGACCACACTTGGAATAAATCACTTAGTCGTATTTAACTCACAAAATAGTCCCATTAAATTCAGTAAGGCAAATTGAGGTCTTATTTATACCAGTGTAAATCCAGAATAACTTCATTTGATATATTCTGGATTTAGACAAGTGCAAATGAAAACATCAGTTCCACTGACTTCAAATAGGACTAGTTATATGAGTATAGCAAGCAAACATGGACCCAAATAAATGTTTGTGATTATCAGAAGTCTCACTTCAGCATTATGAGACTATCCTTATAAGCCTTGTAGTCTATGCCATAAGTTTTACTGAATTGCATATCACCCGGTATAAAC